TTTCTTTGCGAACTTGACTTGTATCCCCAAATTTTCGGAAAAATTAATTGGGTCGTTTTGAATATTGATTTGTAATAATCAATAAAATAACGAAACAACATTGATTAAATACACATAGATAGACCCATGCTATTGTTTGGAGCGAACAGGCCAACGGCCGGCGAACAAGAGATGGCGCACCAACAGTCGGCCGTCAAACGCCGGCGAAAAGCTTGGACACCAATCACGCGCATAGGTAACACAAATCACACCAACAATACATTTAATAAATCTACCACTCGATAGAGGGCGACGAAAAAATGTGTAAAAATCTCATAGTCAGCATTTAGATAATTTACAACGTTGCCAGATGAGTCTAACACAACTTTGCCGTTATTTCTATTCGATTAGATTTTATTTCGTTTAAAAGTTTCTGGTAAATAAATGGAATTATTATAATGAATAAACAATACAAACAAATTATTACTTGTTATTTTAAATACTTGTTAGTGTTGATGAAAACATAAATAGTTATTAAAGTTATTCTAAATAGCTCAAATTTTACAGTACGAGTGGGATGTTTCAGGACGAGTAGGTAGCCGAGTCTTTAATTTCGAAACGAGTACTGCGAAAAGAGTTACCGGACGTTTGTCGTTATGGATTTTATTTCATACTGTCAACATATTTTTTATTCGATAAAATTATTACTATTTTGAGAAAAAGTTCAAATCGAGTCACTTTTTGTGACATCGTTAGCAACCGCTGTTTGGCAAACGTTTTAATTTGTTTATTCGTGCAAGTCAGCATCATATGTTTAAACACATAGTATAACACGTTACAGGACTTATTGTTTTGTATAATCCGCCTCGATGGACCAATGTTTTGTGCAATCCGTCTCGAAGGACCAATGTTTGTGCAACTCGGCTCGTCCTACCAGTGTTTTTTGTAATCTGGTTGATACGACAATGTAATGACGAATTGTACTTTGATATTGCTCGAAGGACCTTTGTTTTGTTGCGTGCGAAATAATAGACAGCGTTCGGTTTCGATGTTTAATACAGGACGGTTACAGAAGTACTAAATTTACATTTGTATTTACAATAACAGGTAAAGCAAAAGAGACCCAAAAGGGTCAGTGGCCGCTTCCGGAAATGGAACACTTGTCCTTTTTGGCTCAATTTTATCGGACTTGTCCGTTTTTTTGATTTTACCGGACTCGTTCGAATCCAGTAGAACGTCAAACTTGACATAGTATGAAGTAAAATAAATAAATTTTGTGATGTAAATACAATTAAGTATATCGATAACTCGCTACTGAAAATTTGTTGAAATATAATTTCTAATTTGTGTTAAAAAAAGATTTTTGTGGTTTTATGGTTTATTAAATGTAATTAAAATAAATAATATCAAGAACTTGAATTATATATTAAAAACATTCTTTGTAAATAAGACAATTATGTAAATAAACCATAAAACCATACAAAATTTTCTTGCAACCTCTACTCAAAATCCCAATTTACCAAGAGGAATTAAGGCACAAAGATGCTTCACTGAATTTAATACCGATTTTTCAAGAAAAGTATGCTTATAAGCCTATAAGCGTCTAATGGATTAAAACAACAAATAATAATCATAATTTATTTGTTTTATTTGTTCATTATAATAATCCCATTTATTTACCAGAACCTTCTAAATGCAATAATGCGATTAGGTATACTGACCGTTTTAAGGAGTGCTCGTCCAATAGTGCGTAAACTAAAAGATTTGGTAAATTTTCTTGGAAGAGTTTGTTTCTTCAATGAAAATTTATGGTTTTTAACTCTTCTGCCGCTTGAAAGTCCAGCCTTGTGAAAATAGATTATTTGATAACCTGTTTCGTAATGATTGTAAATACGAACAAAAACATATTTGCATATTCTAAACAATTGGCCATATCGATATCAAACTTGTACAGATATGTTTTTTAATGCTTCTGTTTTCAATGAAATAAATTTTATTTGCAAAATACTTAATGTCTAACGACATATTACGCATACATACATATGTAGGTACTACCCCATTTACTATATTTCCAATCTGTGCATTTTTCGCTTCATTCGTAGGAGCCAGGTAAGAAATATCAGTGAGACCGGCGGTCTTTGAATAGCTCGTAAATAAAGAGATTTAGTGAAGTTTCCTAGAACAGTCTGTCTCTTCAATGAAAATTTTAGTTTGTTAACGTAATTACCTAATTAGGTGGGTAGAATTTTAAACCGGATCGACAATTTTACTATGAAATATAGGTACAATACGCTGTATTCTTTTCTCGCTGCAAGACAGAACAAATAAAAGAATAGTTTCTAAAGCTGTTCCATTTTTCCACTCTTTGTTTTCTTTGAGATACGAGTAGTTCTTGTGCCGAAGTGAAACACCAAAAAGTCTAAAGTTCGGAAATCAGAGTGAATTTTAAAACACATAAAAACGACTTCTTTATTTATTTAAATATTGTCCTGTAACGTCCTGCGACGTGGAATGGAGTTTCTTAATGTACAAAAGTATGTTACCTAGATAATAACCGAAAAATTTTCTTGGTTAAAACTAAAGGAAACACAATTATTACTTGGAATAAAAATAAAGAATATCGAGAACTTGTGCTATGTATTAAAAATATTTAATTTAAATAAGTAAATTATGTTAATACACCATAAAAGCACAAAAACCTTTTTTTAACACAAATTATATTTCAATAAATTTTCAGTAGCGAGTTATCGATATACTTAATTAAATTTACATCATAAAATGTGAAAGAAAATGTCTGATTTTTGACTTTATCCGGCATATGTTACCCGTTTTTTAAGATATATATGAATACATATGTTTTGTCTTTAGTATATATCTGTCCGTCTCTAGTCTAATAAATGTTCTAAAAAAATATAGTAAGTTTTGAGAAAACGCATTTAAAAGCATTTTCCTTTGTATTATTAGTAACAAAAGCGAGCACATAAAAGCGTGGAAAAAATTTCCAATGTGTTATTTACATTTATTTTACTTCATACTGTGTCAAATTTCACGTTTTACTGGATTCGAAGGAGTCCGGTAAAATAAAAAAAAAAACGGACAAGTCCGGTAAAATTGAGCTAAAAAGAACAAGTCCTGTAAAGTGTTACTATGTGTTCAAACACCTACAGTCGCCTCGTCCTGAAACATCTCACTCGTACTGTAAAATTTGAGTTACCGGACCGTATTTATAATAATGTTAGCACTAACAAGTATTTAAAATAACAAGTAATAATTTGTTTGTTTTATTTATTTTTATTCATTATAATAATCCCATTTCTTTATCAGAAACTTTTAAACGAAATAAAACCTACTTGGCTAGAAATAACGGCAAACTTGTGTTAGGCTCATCTGGCAACGTTGTAAATTATCTAAATGCTGACTATGAGATTTTTACACATTTTTTTCGTCGCCCTCTATCGAGTAGTAGATTTATTAAATGTATTGTTGGTGTGATTTGTGTTACCTATGCGCGTGATTTGTGTCCAAGCTTTTCGCCGGCGTTTGACGGCCGACTGTTGGTGCGCCATCTCTTGTTCGCCGGCCGTTGGCCTGTTCGCTCCAAACAATAGCATGGGTCTATCTATATGTATTTAATCAATGGAAACAATTTACTCACGTATACGGCGCTGGCGTGTACTAGGAGAGGCAACTGAAAATCGTTTATGTATAAGCAATTCTTAATTTAAGACGACAAGCGTAACATAGCATACGTGAGAGTCAAACAGAGAAACTGTAAACAAAACCGATGGTCGTCTAGAGATTTTATTGCTTCGACTTCCGCTTATTATATAAAACAGGTTCTTATTGCTTCTGTAATTTTTTCTTCTAAATGGTTGGCACTATTTATTGGAGTATTATAGAGTGTAGACCATTTCTTTCACTGTGCCCCACAAAAAGAAATGTAGGGCCTCTGCAATCCATTTATTAGGAAAAATGTTTCCAGGTAATTTCGTACAATTTTGTGAAAATGGGGAGGGGCGCCATTCTGGTGGAACGATGTGAATAAACACGGACTGCCAAAGAGGCGTTGTTTTGGCATTCACTGTAAATTAACACCATATCTACCTTTTTGTCATTTGAATACATTTTCTTTCGAAATATGTATGATAGAAATTGACAAATTTTAAACTTTCCATCAGAGTTTGAAGTTCAGAATGCTGTTTTATGACCCAAAAAGTTACGGTGCTAGAAAACGCGGTCGGAAATTATAGTACCGCAAACGGTTCAGATAATTTTACTGTATAAACCGGAAACATGCGCGTAATTCTTCGTTCATTGGTTATTTTCAGTTTGCCTCGGCATGCGCGATTTTGTCTCATCCTGTATCATGGCAGTTTATTTAGTCTTTATTCACTTTACTTAGAATTTAAGGGTTCATTGTGACGAACATGTGTAATTCTCATATATACCGGGTGTTTGGAAAATGGCGGATTAACTATTCAGTACGTTATATACGGGGGTTTCGGGAGTCCCAAAAAAATTCTTTATGATGTAGATTACGAAAAAAACGTAATTTTATAAAATTGGCAACACTGCACACTCCTAATGCGTGAATACCTCCAGCTTACTTTCTGATTTCTTAGTAACGATGGTGACTGAAATCCATCTTCGCTTTATATCAGGCAAACATTGTTGTCAAATGGAATTTTATCAAATTTTTACAAAAACAACACAGCCATATGTTTGTGCATTCTAACGGAAATGGTAATTAAATATGGTCATGGGCGAGAAAAATATTAACTAAAAGTTTTAGTACTAGTTATTGTGATAATGAATGAGTTGTTTAGTTGTTAAACGTAGCAAAAGAACCAATTTTAAAATCATTATAACGCCACCAAAATGTGAGAAGAATTTTTTTACGATTTTTCCCAGACTCACCAGTTGATTGTTAAGAGCGTTGCGGAGAGTTCATCCGCCATTTTCCAGACACCCGGTACATATAAAAATTCTAGCGTGTATGTAATCGGTTTATTTTATTCCAGGTGTTACCTACATTAAATATTCTCGAACTTTGGAAGCCGCGGAAGCTTTGGAAGCTATGAATGGAAAATGTATAGGAAATTTAACTAGGAGCATCAGAGTAATGATAGCGGCAAGGTAAGAGACTAGGTTTAACTATAGTCAAAACATTTCGTTTAAAGTTATTTAGGAAGAATTTTCCTGACTCCTGAAGTACAGTCGTGGTCCTTTAAAAGTATCATACTGCATTTTGGCTCTCTGTTCGAAAATTTAAGAATTCATGCAGCCTAAATTAGGTTGTGTACCAAATTTAACAATGCCACTGTCAACTCGTAATAACTAGTGTCGTACGCCATTTTGAAGAATGCCACAATTAACAATTTGGGTTTTGCCAAACCTCCGGGAAGAACTGATGCAAGGCATTCCAGATCCCTCTCATTCAATCCCGTTACAATATGTGCAGATTGCCGTGTTATCAATACTAAGCATAATTGATTCAGCATTCAGCTGGTGCTACGGTAAAAAATTCTGCCCTACTACACTTTTCAGTGACATTTGAAGGGAATTTTTAGAAACTTCACAAAGATAAAATTTAGACAGGTCAAAGTGTAGTATTTTTAAACGGCCGCGACTCTACATTTGAACAAGGTCAGTTTATTAGATATGTTATAAAAGTTGCTTCTACCTATATTAAAATATACAAAAAAGCTGGTCTAAAGTTATTTAGATCGAACTTCCTTCGTCCCTGAAGTACAATATGGCAGATCCAGCTTTTTCGAAAAATTATAAGATATAATTTTGCGAATTTTATTTTATACTGTGTTGTAATCGAGTTCGTCGCTCGATTCTCTAGTTTTACGTTTGCTCGACCGTTCATGACCCCTACAGTACGAAGAAATAGGTCTCCCGGTTCCGTCTGTCTGTCCGTCTGCCTCTCCGCCTGTCCCTCCGTCTGTCTCTCCGTCTGTTCATTTGTCTGCCGTCCGGGATTTTTATTAGACAGATAATCTCTGAAAATACTGGGCTGATTGTTGTCAAATTTTGTATTTATATTAAGAATATCATGTAGATGGTAAAACGTTAACCAAAATTTGTCTACTCAGCCCCACCAATAATGTGGTGACGTTACTTCAGAATTGTACATAGTAAATGGGTTTTAAATTGTATAAAATAATATAGTCCTGCACATGTAGTTTATGACTCCGTGTTTAGTTTTTATCTGAAACGTCAACATTTTTGTAAAAAAATCAAAATTTTAAAACAACATTTTGCAATCTAATTTTGAATCTGCAAAACCGAATGGTTTGAAATCTTGGAGATGTTATAAAGTTAGGTATCATTAGCATAGTAAATTTTTCATCAAAATGTATTTGCTCATCCCCCCAAAAATTGATTACGTCATCACCTCAAAATGCTGCCGAATAAATCCTATCTTAAATGTGGTAAATATGATCAGTCTATATTTCTGGGTTTCCAGAATTTTATGAAAATTCATTGAAAATTTCACTTTTGATTCAATCAATAAACGTGATTCAATCATTACATAAAGAATTCTAAAAAATAAATGTACATTACTAAGTGCATTTTTAACAATCATTTATTGAGCGGACAGTGTTTACACCGAGAGGTAGACATTCCTTGTAAAGCTGTATACTGCAGTTTCTACCTTTTTGGGTCTCATCATTACAGTCCATTACACCTTGTTGTACAGCGTTTGAGTGTATTTTGTTTATGTGCGGAAGATAAGCATTCATGTGTGAGTGTGATATTATGTGGCATTTTCTCGCAATTTGGAGAATCAACCAGTGCGTGAGTCACTTCCCGAGATTTCTGTAGTACTCTCTTTGGCATTTCAATTGTAATTGTAACAGCTTTCGGTTGATTGACAACGGCTTTTAGTCTGAATATGAACGTTGCCAAATTTACGATTAACAAGTGGTGTTTCAATAGGAATGGCAAAGACTATATAGTCTTTTTTTATAGTTCTATTGAAACACCACTTGTTAATCGTAAATTTGGCAATGTCCATATTCAGACAATTTTCTAACTAAAAGCCGTTGTCAATCAACCGAAAGCTGTTACCAATTGCTAAATTTTAAACAAAATCAACAGGTGGTGTTTCAATAGAAATGGCAAAGACAATAGGTGTAAGCTAGCATCAAATTGCTCTAAAGTTCGATCTGCGACCTTTCGGCACAGTGGAAACTCATTGATCGCCATTTAATATCTCAAGACTGTCAAGCAGTAAACAGTTTAAATAAAGTTACTGGCATTTTTTGGTTTTCATATCCATTGCTTTTCAATTCCTTGACAAATGTTGACAATTGACATTTCTACCTTACCGATTTTACATACAGGCAGTGACTATGTATTTAAAACGACCAGCAACCCCGTATCCCTATGCATACCAGCGTCGCCTACGTTTATAGTTGGGTTGATAAAGCCTGCCGAATAGCGAAATTGGACGATATGCAAAATTTGGACACATTATGATGAGGGCGCTAGTTATCATTCGTTGACATTTGACTAATTTGACTGTACAGAAGAAATTGTTGGTTTATGATGTTATGTGTTGGTTTGTTAGTGAAGTTTTTCGTTGATTATTATTATTGATTGATGAAAATGGTTTCGGTTAGTCGATTACCACGGTGTATAATAAATTAGGTGTTCCGACGAGCGCGTGAAACGTGTCCCCAACTACTCACAGATTTGGACTGAGACAAACAGAAGTGGGTGGCCATCATTTAATCGCACTGACGGGAAAGAGACGGGAGAAGTATTTGTCGGAATTAAAGCCATTTAGGTTAAAAAATCATCAAAATTAATTATCCGTTGTATTAAAATAAAAACTTTAAACATTTTTAAAATAATAATTTATTTAAAAAGATGAATGTAAACTCGTTGTTAAAGATAGTTCTTTTCGCCTTCACATATTATACATATTAGTTTCACTCACTTCTGTTCGTTTCACACGGCAACTAAAAAATATCCATTAACCATTATCTACTTTACTGTTTGAGAAATAAAAATTTACCATTATTACGTAATCTGCAGTCGAGACTCTTTTCTTTTTTCTGCACATGCTTTGGTTGTTTTCTCTTGTTCCTGTTTATAAAATTGTTTAATTCGCATAATTGTGTAAAAATATATTGCCTTTGAAAATATTTCCAATCTATGCTCTTCACAAGAAAAAGGAAAGTAAATAGTCATAAAATTTTTTGTTGCGAATAGCTCATTATTTGTTGCATCGAATACATCCACCAAATCGATATACATATTTCATAAGTATCCCTTCCACCCATCGGAACATATTAAACATTAACGAATCTGGATGGTTTAACCACCCCCTGGATTTTGTACTAGTAAATTCAGATGTACTAGAACATGGATCTTCTTTGTTATATAACTGTTCACGGCAAATATTACGTTTTGAAGTATTGTACAATTTTTTTGCGACAAATTCAGCTGAGTAGTAAATGATGTCAACAATTTGAGTTGTAGTGACATCTTCAAATAGTTGTTCGTCTATTTCATTAATCGGTGAATCTGTATCTAAAATATATTCAATTTTCCTTTTTATTTTCTCAACATGATTTTTCCCGCATTCTGGATTTGTTTAAAAAATATTTTTGAAGTCATTAAATGATAACGAATGATTTGGATTACTATTTTCCTGCATCTGTGTGCAATTGCCAAATTTCGGAGGTTTTAATAATTTATAAACCGATAACATTCGGTATAGCTGCAAAAAAGTTATAAATGTGAGATGTCCATTGGCACAACCTGCTTGTCAAATTGTGCCGAAAAATCTCTGCAAAAAATATAGTTTCTGTGGAATAAAGAAAAAATACATATCGCATTCAAAAACCCTCTGAAAATAAACATAAATTCTGTTTATTGAATGTTAAGACATAAAACATAACCGACAAAAAGAGAGTAATTGTTTTAAGTAAAAATAAAATTCAACATAAAATGCCTACTATTACTATAGCGACGACCAGTATTTTTTAGTGCAAAGTGTTGTTCAAAAGCAGCAGTTCACTACTGCAATAAAAGTGCCATTCCAGTCTGTAGGTACCCGAAACACCGACATTTTTTCGGGATTACCATTGTATCCGCTAGAACAATTAGGCACAACACATTTTCTACCCATTTTTATTGATAAATCAAAAAAACAAGTAAGAAATCGCAGAGAAGACCTAGCAAAATCTGTTGTCACACCTACAGAGGGAAAAAACCCGCCAAATGCTGCTAAACAGATCTAAGTGAGAGGTTACAGGCCGCCGCTGTCTCTCTCTCTCGACCGCTGCTCGTGAGTAAACCGGCGTCAAGTCGATGCACGGTGAATACGCTTCATCGTAACACCTAACTTATTATTAGAGAGCGGATTTCTGTCGGGCTAGGCAAGGCCAAACTCGGTACGGCTCGTACGGGATGGGAATTCATTGCAGTTACGGGTTGCACTTCGTTTATTTGAGATTAGAATAACGCTACTTCCTTGCACTCTGCTGTTAATTCTCATTCTCATTTACTTAGCCGTTTGATTAATAAATCGTTAATTGTATTTATGGAATAAGTGACGATTAAATTCAGTGATTACTGATTATTATCTATCACCCGCCACTGAGTCCTGGCGATCCAGCGCGTCCCCACCTATAATTGTGACGTAGCCCGACAGAAATCCGCTGTCTACTTATTATACACCGTCTCGATTACACACCTTCTTACACCTCTCTCTTATACACTTCTTGATCGCGTTACACATCATCACGACAAAACATTGTAGTGAAATAAAAATGAAAATTTACTCAGAAAGTTTAACAGGTTATTGAACAGGAATGTCTATTGAACAAACTTACCTTTGTTAAACTGGGGAACTGCATGGCTTTCCAGCCTGCATCTACCCGAAGAATCGTAGAAAAAAATCATTTTCAGTAAAATGTAGAGTACACACTTTTGCCCTCTCCGAAGGAGGTTCAAAGTTTTCTTAAATGAAATTAACGTTCATTATTACGTTATATCAAGAATTTTACTTATTTTTTAATATTTAAAGAATGCAAAATTTTCAAATTTTCCCCAAGAGTGATATTTTTTATCCACGCAGAAAACCTCTGCTTCTGCGTTGGAAACTCATGGTA